TTTTTGTTTACACCATTGCTCCCAAAAGTGACGTCAACATGCTGTCTTTATGGTAGTCACGGTTTTGAGCATTTTTAAGGGTTGTTAAAGCTAGATAAGGATAGTATTTGGATGCCATTAGGTTGAGAGATCACCTATAAGGTTCCATATTACTTGAATCTAATATTTTCTATTTTTCTTGCATTTATTTTATCATATGTAGCTGTTGTCTTTTAATACTGTTTTAATGTTCTATTCGGTTTAATATTCAATTTTTTTTTTTGCTCCTTTAAATTTTACATGCAATTTATGTTAAGCACTTTAATTCCTTATGTTACTTAAATTTGTTGCAATATAATTTTCTATGTTATTTAAATTTATGCAATTTACTTTTATTGTAATTTAATTTCAAGTCTTTAAATTTCATACCCTCATTTAGTTTTTATGCAATTTATTTTTCATACTCTTTAAATTTGCGCCATTTAAATTTTCATGGATTTTAACTATTTGCCATTTAATTTTAATGTTTATTTAAAATTTCAAGCTATTTAATTTTGTAGATTTGAATATATCTAGGGTGTCCGGTTTTAGTAGTTAGCTTTAGATACCACCGCAATCTTTAAAAGACGATACTTGGAGTTAATACTTTCACTTTATTACTTATACAACTTGTATACTTACGGTGTGCGCAACATTGTCAAACCACAAACCAAACCCTCAAACCCTAAATTTAAATCCAAACCTATAACCTTATCCCAAACCGAACCAACCTTAAACCTACCCTAAACTGAAACCAACCCCAAAACTAAACCCAAACTAAACCTAAACTTTAAACCAACCCCAAACTCAAAACAAACCCTAAACTGAGCCTAAACCCTAAACAAGCCCTAAACTGAGCCTAAACCCTAAACCAACCCCAAAACAAACCCTTAAACACTAAATCGAGCCTAAACCTTAAACTTAAACCAATCCCTAAACCCTAAGCCAATCACTAAACCCTAAGCCAATCACCAAACCAAACCCAAACCTAAACCTTAAACCTATCCAAATCCAAACCAAACTTAGACCTTAAACCCAAACTAGACCTAAACCCTAAACCACATCCTCTAACCCAACCATTAGACCTTAAACCGAACCCAATCTCCTAAACCAACCCTAATCCCCAAACCGATTCCAAATGCCAAACTAAAAAGCAACCCAAGCCCTAAACTAAGTCTCAATCCCTAAACTAAAACCACAAATCAATCCCAAAACCAAGTTTATAACCTAAAAGCCAACCCTATACCTATTTTCATGCATTCGCATTTCATTTCAACAAATTGTCACATGCATTAACATTCTTGAATTGTCATTGCATTCATGCATTTATATTGTCATCCTATCTTTGATTGTCATGCATATATGTCATGATATTCATGTATATTACTCATATAAAATGTTCTAAGAAAATGTTTCAAAAAATTAATAAATAAATAAATAAAATAAGATAATATTTCAAGTAAAAATAGCCCTTAAGATCTGACCTAAATATGGGGAATTCTCAATGTTTATCATTTATGGGAAATATTATCTTGGTTTTGTAGGGCATCTCGAAAACTCCTAAAGTTAGGGATATTTTTTTAATTTCTCATAAATATAAGGGAATGAAGGAGGTGTTTCAATACTTAGAATTTTTCATCTTGATCCAAAATAATCAATTTTGTTTTTCAATATTTCAAAATAAAATAAAATGATTTGTCTATAAAACAAAAAATTCAAAATGATATGTTTTCAAGAAATAATTTTGGAAGAAAAAATGAAATATAAGGAATTAATTAATAAACATTAAAATTAGAATCATTTTTACAGAAATTGAATTATAACATGTAACCAATTGGTATCTTTTTTTAACAAGTGTTGTAACGGTGCTAACCTTTCCCCATATATAACCAAACTCTTGAGCCCAATTATATTATTGTAAGCCAAAATATCTTCTTAATAAACTTTAAACTCTTTTTGATGTTTTATTAAAAGGATAGACTTTTTAGGTGGTCAATCAAACCTTAAAAAAGATTGGCAGTGATTCCTCGATTTTGATGTTTTGAAAATGCTTTTTATTTTTCCATGGTTGAATTCCCGAACCCACATGTTGCTACATGTGTGCATGAACTAACGGCGAGCTAGGAGAAATTCAAAAGCCATGCATGAAATGAGGAAACCATGCAAAGGTGACAAGCGTGTTCAGCTAAGACCTAAAACCCACTCAAAGGATCGGTTTAAGACTCTACATATTTCCTATTAAAGTCAGCCCATGCATGGAAGAAGGATGGAAGAAGCTTGCCTTAAGTGAAATTCCAATTCAAATTCAATAGTCTTACACTACCATGCAAGATAGGTTCAGCCAAGCAAGAATATGTAGCTTAATGAAGGTTCAACCTTGCATGATTTATGCAAGAACAAGTCAAAATTCAACCAACAAATTTAAAAGAGTTTGAGAGCAAGTAAAAAAGATTAAGAGATCATGAAAAGCCAATTCAAAAAATTTTCCAAATCCTCTTCCCCCTTTCATTTCAAATTCAAATGCACATAAGTGGCAATTACAAGTAAACAATGGCATCATGTATGGACCAATCAAGGACAAGTTTTGGGCCATTCAAGCATTCACCTAAGCTACCTTTCTCCTCGTTAGCATTTACACTTCACCAAAACTAAGAAAATTTTGAAATTTGAAAAAGATTTCAGCTACATAGAAATGTCAGGTTCATCCCCCTTATTACCCTACTTCCACTATAAATAGAGGTGCCTAGCAAACTTGAAGGGCATTCTTCACTACACCTCTCTACATCTTTGTAGAGTTTAGTTTTCTCTTTTAATTTCTTTTAATTTAAGTTTTCTCAAGCTGTTTCTAGCTACATTTTGTTTCCAAGTTTTTCTTTGAATTTTTGGCTATGAGTTTAAGTTTTAAGTGTTGCTCTTTTCAAAGTCAAGTTCATTTTAATTTAACTCCAAGTTCAAGTTATTTCCTTCATTGCTTTTAGTTTTTAAATGGTCTTCCCCATGTTTTTCAAGCAAGAGCATCGATTTCCCCATCATAACAGGATCGATCCTCTCGTTTCTAACAGCTTTATTTTTATTTCTCGAAACATAAAAATTAATCTCCTATGGTATAAGATCGATCCTCTCACAAAAAAAAAATTCAAATTAAGATAAAATTAAAAGAAATAAAGGCTATTTTTCTAGTCCAATGAGTCATAATGGCTAAGAATCATTTTCTCACATAAAAGGAAGCATTCAAGAACAAGAGATTACCTTCCAAAGCATAAAAGTCAAGTTTGTTCATTTCTAAAGCATTCAATGTGTAAAAACCCATTCTTGTATTATTAAATATCAAATTCTTATTGTATTATCTCTTCATCTTTGTTCTTAAACAAATTTTTATTGTATTATCCCTTCATCTTTGTTCTTAAACCTAGCAAACATCCATCTATTAGATGCTTTGTTTGGTTTGCAAACTACTTTGTCATTCAAAAGGTAGTGAGGATGTGGTGAGATATCCTCTTGAGAGTTTTTATAGTAAGTGTTTAGTAGAATCCTACAATAGGGTAAAGGTTGTTAACTTGAGCTTTGAAAATGTAGACATTGCAACTTGTAAAATAGCTTTCTACTAGTAGATTTGAAGCTTGGTTAGGAAAGCTAAGAGAGAGAACGTAGGTATCTAGTTGGAAAAAGGTCGAAGCTCTATCCATCACTGTATTTGATCTTCTTTCCCTATGTTTTATTGCCTATTTGAATTATCTTACTTAAATTATCAATTTCATATTATTTGGATTTGAGTGTGCTTAAAATTTTGATAATCCAATTCAACAACTTTTGAGCTAACAATGGCATATGCATAGGTGATTGGCTATAATCCAAGTGGGAGACTATCGAAACATGTCCTAGGGGCCAATTGGAATTGTCCAAAATACTCATATTATATTGTAGATTTTGAATATAGTAAAAGGTCTTGATTTATCCATAATATTTCAATCATGTTATTGTTTAAGCTTAATTATAAAGTTCTTGAAATAAATAAGTTTGTTTTATAAGGGTATTACAAAAAGTTGTAACTAAAATTTATCATTGTATCAAAACTATACCTTTTTAAATATTCATACTCAATGTTTTATTAAAACCTAACATTGATATAAACTATTGAGATAAGCACACAATTCCACGCATCCCCTAATTATTAAAGTTGTAAAATTTTCTTTAAATTTTGAGATTTTATAAAAATCCACTTACAATTTTTAATAATTTTTTAATCACATAGTGACTGCCCATATTTAAAATTAGTGGAGTGAATTTAGAATTTTTTTTCTAAAATGCTATATATATTTTTTAAAATTTGAAATTTTAATGATATCAACTGATACCAGTGACACAGTGGCTGCTGATATCCTTATCTTAAAGCAGTTCTTTACAGCGGATTCAGTTCTTCCATTGGCGTTTTCGGCTAGTTGAGGAGACACAAAACTTGCTTCAAAAGCAAAAATAAGACAGACTATCCTTTCACCTGACCCTGATTTTAATGCCTTTTTCCTTTTAATGTATATATCTTTTTTTTTCCTACCGTATCTTTCGACTCTGTATTAACAAAAATTCTCTAGCCTACTACTGACATTGGCTATATTCCTAGTGGATTCTTACAACACTATAATATTGTTTCTGTTATCCTAGGCTAACTGACTATTTCAAGTGAGCATGAATTAACAAGAAGATACCGATACTATTTTGAAATTGAAAAAAAAATTCGAAGGCTTGGTGGATATTTGGCACAATATCTTTGTATTGTACATATAATCCATCGATTTGATGGATAAATGAGTACAGGAGATTAGAATTTAAATTGACAAAGAAAAAAAGAAAGAAAGAAAGAAATTGAAACCTGCAAACTTCATTCACAACAGTTTCAATGAGTCCCGTGTAAGCAAATGCATAGTGCAGACAAAACTTACAAGTAATATGAATTAACAAGTTCAACAGAAGACTGGAGCATGATAGACCAAAATACAGTTCTTTCAAAACTGCACATAGTGACAAGTTCTACCTTGGTTGCTTACCGTCTTCCCCAATATTTCAAATGGAAAGAACTGCTAGAGGATGAGACAACTGTTCACAGGTACATCATTGACCCTTAGAATTTATAAATACACGTACCATTTGAGTACCCTGACGAGTACTATAAAAATCTCATTCAACTGGGAGAGGAAGAGCAAGTGGCAACTCTGAACACCAAATTAATCTTCTAATATAAATCTTTTAAACAGTTTTAACTTCCACTCACTTTTGTAAAAGGTTCAACCTCTGTTAGATTCAGACTTATCTTCAGCTTCAAAACTAGGAGGATCGTAAAGATCACACTCTTTGGGAGGTTCACTCTTGCTTCTTCCGTTTGCTCCTTTGCTTCCATGTGCACCGCCTTCTCTGTGACTTTCACTTCTGGCAGGATTCCTCTTCTTCACAGGGGTATGAGGGGAATGACTGGGAGCTTCATAAAGGGTTATGCCACTGGCCCCAGTGTGAAGCATTGCCTCTTCATGACTGAACTCTTTGGACTGAAAAGTCTCAAGTAATTCAACCACTTGGCTCATGAGAGGTCTCCCTTTTGGGTTTTGGCTAAGGCATTGGTAGGCCAAATTCGCTACCTTCATTGCAGTACTAGAAGAGTACTGACCTTCCATTCTAGGGTCTAAGATCCTCATAAGCTTCTTATTATGGTTCAAGAGGGGACGAGCCCACTCAACAAGGTTATGTTCTCGGCTAGGCCTGCTCTTGTCCATTGCTCTTCTTCCAAGGAGCATCTCTAATAACACTACTCCAAATCCATAAACATCACTTCTTGCTGTTAAATGGCCTGGTCATATCAATACTGCAACTTGGTTAGCCACTATCATTTCTAGTATTGGCATAACTAAACATCATGAGTACAAACATGTCAGTTTATTAAAGGATACAACAAAAGAAGGACAACATAGAACTATTCTATCACTTTCTATCTAGCAGTTAAACCAATTTGCCATCATGACTTCTTATTTCATAGTACCTGATTTATTTCATTAAATTAAAACCTTGAAGATGAGATGCTTCAGTTAAGAAATAAATAATGTCATAACCTATTGGTATGCTCAACTTTGGTGCAAGAAACCTATTTTAAAATGCATTTATGCAATCGTTTTTATTTAATAATATATTTCAAAGAAACAAAAGACCAAAGAAGCCTCAAGAGGCAAATTGTTACAAGCAGAATCAGAGTCATTAAGCATACATGAGATGAAGCACCAAGTTGTTTGCGTATTTTACCCTCATCCATTCCTTTTATTACTTTTCAACAGTTTATAAAGTATTTTACCCTTTTACCAATTAAAACCAAAAGCCAAAGGCAAGTAAATATTCTCAAGAAAAATAAATATATGCCAAAATTTTCTCATGTCATAAAGTGAACAAACAATTCTAATACACTAAAGAATTTGGCTGTAAAAATAAAGTGAAACTGTTCCATAATTACTGTTGAATATTGCCCTTTGATTTCACATAGTGGAAAATGCATTTTCAGAAAATCAAAATGTCTACTACCATGACATGTTCCCCAAAAACAAGAGAAAGGGAACTGAGGAATTGCTACTCTCCAACTTCAGCTTAACTGAACAAAATGTTAATTCATAAGAGAAACCTAGTCAAAGATCCTACCATTGTGACTGAAAAATGTTTCCTTATTTAATTGGCAATGATGAAGATTTTCAATTATCTTGAAACAAAAATTTAATTACAAACCAGTCATCACATATTCAGGTGCAGCATATCCGTAGGTGCCCATCACTCGTGTTGACACATGGGTCTTGTCTCCCATTGGTCCATCCTTTGCAAGCCCGAAGTCTGAGAGCTTTGCATTGAAGTCCTGCATGTTACTTGCACTTTTAGTGACAAAAACTAAAACTTCATCAAAATAGAACACTTAATGGAAACTTATAGTAAGTTTCAACTGAACTCTAGATATGGATAATCCTTGTCAGAAGGAATCTTCCAATGATTTTATCACCTGTAAGTTTTGACTTTAAGGAGCTAATGTAAAAATTAAAATTCTGATTAAGGAATTTTGTTTAAAAAGAAAAAGTGAACTCAGCAAAGATCATGTAAAGGTTCAGAAGTCTTCCCATTTTTAAAGATCCCACAAAATAAGATACGCGTGATTAAAGTACAGGCAACTGATGAATAACAAAAAAATGATGACCAACCGCATCCAGCAAGATGTTTGATGTCTTGAAGTCACGGTATATGATAGGTCTTTCTGCACCATGAAGAAAAGCAAGCCCTTTTGCTGCATCTAAAGCAATCTTCATTCTTTTTGACCAAGTCAAACTACAACCAACTCCTAACAACCAAGAATAAATAGAGTAAATAAAAAATACTTCCATTTTCTGTATAATGGAAAATAGATACATCTTTATTTGATATGTATACACAATGCAGATGCTTTAAGCAGATATTTTTCCAGTGCTATTTATCCCTGTTATTATTAAACCAGTCACAAAATCTAAGCAATGGCAGGCAGGAACAGCCACATGTACATCATAAATGAATGTAAATACTAGTAATACTTGGAGGAGCAGGGAAGTCATGGAGTGTTAAGTAAATTAACGGATCAACCATTTTGACCAATATCTAGTCTGACGTAAATATAAACTTGTGATTTTGGTTTAGCATCCATACTTCTAGACTTTAAGTTTGAAGCATACAGGCAGTACATTCCATTAACTTCCAAAAAAGACAGAATTACATGCTGTTTCCCTTCCGTCGGAATGCATATAATTTTATTTTCCATTTTTTCTGGTATACGAGTTACTTTTAATACCAAACAAATATATAACTTAAGTTGAAAAATATCCATCCCTCAAATGTGAATGAAGCATGTGCATGCATTAGTACAGAAAAGATAAAAAGATAGTTAAAATCACTCCTGGCACTTTTACTATGTTAATGGAATGTAATTTTTTGAGAAAAGATCCATGTAATAGATTAGAAGGAAAATCTCCTGAAAATGTCTGACTTTCTAGCCAATGAAGCAACTGGAACAAACACACAATTTATTTGCAGGCAGATAATGTGTTTTATCCCACAAGTTATGAAAAGGTGGCAAGCATTATGTGTAACCAGAACAAGGGGGAAGCAGTTAATTAGAAACTCTAATAAATATATAAAATCATGCAGTAAATAAGACTGCCTGAAATTTTGAATATTGAAGAATTGAAAATTAGATTAGGGCCTTCCATCTTTTATGTGAAAAAATAATACATGGTACTTATATCCTCTCAATCTGCTTACAGATATGTTAAAACATAGAGGTTATATAAGTTTCATAATAGAATTTATTTCCTAAGTCAGACTTAAAATAACCTTTTTTTCCTACCACTTACTGCGAAAAAGATGTTTTTCGAGACTCCCACTTGCCATGTATTCATAGAGAAGAAGCCGATGTTCATCCTCCCAACAGTATCCAATGAGCTTCACAAGATTTGGATGGCTGAGTTGCCCTAGATATTTGACTTCAGCCTGCAAAACAAAGAATCATGTGCAAACAGATGCAATTATATTCTCTCTCAAACTGTTATTCTAAATATAAAAGAAAAGGAAAGTCACATAATTATCTAACATACCAACATGAAAACAGTTTATTCTTCAGGTCCTATTTATTGGTTGACTAAGTAGTGTTGAATAATGTATGCATCCATAAATATGAGAAATAGCAACCCTAAACAGCTGTTTCTGCTGGCCAAAAACAAAAGCAGCTGTTTCTAAATGAAATCTTTTCTCAAATAAGATGATAAAGCATATCCTAAAATTTGTTACTCAGTTCCAAATGCCCAAAAGTATATCCCTACCTACCTTCAACATTAATTTAATGCTTGAATTATAGGTTTTGTTCTATATCCTAGGTACCTATCCTACAAAAACAAAAATAAGTATTACATATCATAGTTGAATTAGGCCAAGAAATTTAATGCATTCAAAATCAAATCTTGGGAAACTACTATATTTATAAGATAATAAGGTGAGTTATGCAATTACCAGATTCCTTTAAAGTGGATTCTCATAATCGTAATAGTACAACAGCATCCTGCCATATATATGAGCATTCTTCCCCAGCTAGATGAAATTTTTTCACATGTTCTCTCTCTCTCTCTGTGATAAAGTTTGTACCAGTATTTGGCAACGACATGAAAGGCTAAGTATCCATATATGTAGATGTAGAAAAAATAAATAATAACACCTCAGATTAAAAGAATTACTTAGAAGAAGCCAAGAAAATAACACAAGTAGATTACCAGCCATTCTCTGTCACCTTGGAACCCATCAGGATTAAGCTCCTTAACAGCGACTGCTGTAGATTTGTAACCAGGCCTCACATTCTCATCTATAACTCCTTTATAAACAACCCCAAAGCCACCTTCACCAAGAATATAGTCTGGCCGGAATTGCTTTGTAGCCAACCTTGTCTCCTCATATGTGAATCTATCAACATTGGTATATCCAGAATTCTGCCGTAGATCTTTAACATCCTTGGCTGTCAAAGGAATGATGCTTGGCTTTTTGGTTTCAGGTGACTCCTGCATTTCTAGTTATTGTTGGAGATGCAGTAGTTTTAAGTCCTCCATCTTAAGTTGTTCGATATAAAAAAATATTCTACAAACTAAAGGCCCTCAATTTCTTTAAATGTGCAAAGATAAAAAGCATGAAACATCAACATGCATTCTTATTTAATAATTCTATACATTTTAAAACAGATCGGTCACACAAGGCACAATTGGAAAAACTCTCAGTTCACTAGTTCTAGGTTGTTCAAATTCTATCCAATCAATTATTGTCATGATTCTCTCTAGCTTTCTGCAATAAATTTTAGGCTGGTTTTTTCAAATTTATGACAGAATAACAAGTTGTGAACTTTTTTTGATTCAATCGTAAACAAGAACAAAGAACAACTTCTGAACAATATCACAACCTAATAAACACACAGTTTCAAATAGAATACGCGATTCCATTTTCTGTCAAATTTCTGGGAGCAGGAGAACCCAGTAAAGGACGAAATTGAACAAGAAATTCAAACGAGAGTTAAAAACTTAAGTAAAGAAATTAAAAAGAAAAAAATTACAAGAAGAGCAAATAAATTTTAAAATAACCTGGACGCTTGCTGAGAGATTGGTGATCTTGATGTTGATGCAGCTGTTCCTCAATACTAAAACAAATCCCCATTAATCCGACCCACACTCTGAAAATTAATCTGAATTGGATTTTACCTCCCCATTGTTTTAACAAAAATATGTCACATTATATTTTACAAGGGCATCGCATCTAATTCTAAATGAAGAAATTTGAGTCAATGTTGCGAAAAAAGGGGTCCGGATCCGATCTGGGTAAGACCCAATCCCAAGTGGTCGCCAGGAAATACACCGATCCAATTGGCAAAAAGGGGAACCAACACCACGGAAAGGGGGAACTAAGAAAAACCTACAAACTATGAGAAAAAAAGGGGAGGAGAGGGAGAAAGCGAGAATGTCTTAAAAGAGAGAGTTTCTTTCCTGGATAGATAACTGATTTTTTTTTTTTTTTTTGGATTTTGCATTTTCAGAGGCGCAGCCGCCAAAAACGCCAAGCAAAGCGGGACCCATGTTTTTCTAACAAAACAACCTTTTGGTTGAGGTTATTTAACATATTGCCATTTACTCGTCCCAACCCTACGAGGTGTTGTCAGCACAATCTACTTTGATCTAATGGCATAGACGTGTCATATATATATATATATATATATATATATATAGTTATACACACGCATATATATATATATATATATGTGTCATAGATGATTAAATAAGATGATCAATTTGGATTTAATTTAATTTTTTTATAATTTATAGTATTAGTATTTTTAAAATTTAATTCGAATTTGAATCAATTTTTATTTAAAATCAATTTGATTTAAATCAATTTTTATCGATTTAATTTATTAAACTTTTATATTATTTTTATATAATTTTAATATATTAAAATAAATTTACATATAAAATAATTATTTTATTTTATAAAAATTTAAAATATAAATAAATTAATAAAAATATATAATTCAACTCAAATATTTTCAATTTTTTAACTTTTTACTTGAAATTCGATTCAAATCTAATAAAAATATTTAATACTCGAACATAAACCAAAATGAATAAAAAAAATTAATATAAACCAAACACTATATTTTTAAATTGATTTTTAATTTTTTAAAATTTTTTCTCACTCTTATACTTAACTATGGCTTAAATATTATCCAATATTTTTCAGTTTGGATAAACTTTTTTATTTTGTTTAAATTAATATGTGATTTTTATTCTTTAGAAAATTATTGATTTCACACAGATTTTATCAAATGACCTGTCATATTTTGATCAAGTTAATAGCATGAAAAGCGAAATAATACATTTCAATTTGTGTTTTAATCAATTATATTGAGAGTTTTCTTTTTTTTTTCTTTTTATATTTTTCTTTTATGTTTCTCTTTTAACAAGAACATGGAACGTTAGTGACCTTTTTGAACCTTGATCAAGATTATGCCTAAGGAAGGCAAATCAACTCGAAACTATCAGGTTTCGACCCGACCCGATCATCTAGGGTCAGATTTTTTTTTAAAAAAATGGGTTTTAAGTTGGGTCAGGTCGATTTTATTTTTTTGAATATCAAATTCAGGTCGAGATTGGGTTTTATACAAACCCAACCTGACCTAACTCGAGATATTTCCAAAATACCTTTGTAATATATATATAATTTTTTTCAGGGTTTTTCTCTTCTTTCGACCCCATTTCGAACTCTCATAATCTTTTCAGATTTTCTCATCCTCCAAAACCCAACCGACCTTTCTTTTTCATTAGCTTTTAATTTTCATCCATTTTCTTCAAATCTTTCCTTTATTTCAATAAAGAAAACCTTCAATTCAAAAAGAAAAACTCAACAGGAGTGAAAGGAAAGGAAAACGGGCCAACTATTAGTACCTAGGACTAGGAGCGACCGTTCCCCCTTCTCAGAAACAAAAACTGCAACAACTAAGCCTTCCTTTGAGTGATCTCCATTAGTACCAGCAGTTTTGAGGTAAGCCAAAGGCCCAAAGCTATCTCTTTTAGATCTCTTATTTACAAGTATTAATCTTTTCTTTTTATCGCTAAATTAATCTCTTCATTTTCATTTCACAAGATTTGATCTTTGATATGAACTCACCAGTTCTTCTCAAAAGGCAAAAGCTTTGAAATATCCTCAATTGCTTGCACAATGAATTAAGCTCGTGAAGAAAAGCTATTATTACTTCAAAAGTGAGATGGGGAGGCCAGCGAAAGAGCTCGTATATGCAATTTAAAAAAGCATAACAATATAAAATAGGTAGTCTATAATGGGTGTTCAAGTTTTAGTCTTTGTTTTATTCTTCTCCATCATGTTTAGTTAGCCAACATAAATGACATGATTGGAGCAGTTAAGAGAAATGTGGAGTTTTAACAATTACTTGTTGAATAAAACATGTTGCATTTCAGGAATGGAATCGGTGGATGAAAATTTGTATTTTTTTCTAACAAAATTATAGGGAATATGTTAATTTTTTATTTTTTATGTTTTTGAAAGTCACCTTTTTTATATAATTATAAAGAATAATTATATATTTATATGATTATTTGCTCATAGTTATTTATAATTAACATGCATATAAATTTTTATTCAAGAAAAGAATATGATTGTATTTTTCTTTTGGGTTTATCAATATATTGCTATTTTTTTTATGTATTCCTTTATTATGATACCAATATAACCAATAACCGAATGAAAATATGGTCACAAACCCTCAATATAATAAAGAAAATACTAGTACATAAATTGGATTAAAAGACAACAGTTCATACAATTTGGGACACCAAATCATCAACCATGTTGAGTTGATCTGTCATCCATAAGCATGAGGAATCTATCCTATATTGAAAAGAAAATGGTCATACCACCCACAAGCCATGGCATCTCTTCCCTTTAAGTTTTTTATATATACCCACATTTGTTCAATCTATAGTTCCAATGTCACAGCCTAAAATCACAAAAGCATTAAAGCTACTCTACTGAAGACCTTATTAGAACCCCAATGTTCTTGGGTTCCTAGACCTATACCTAGCCAGGCTTTAGGTTATTGTAACTATATTGGTTGATGGAGAAAAAGTATCAAATATTGTAGAAATAAAGAAAGACAAAACTATATATTGTTAATTATGATTAGTATGATAAGGAAATGAAGTGATTTATATACTGTTGATGTCTTAAAATACTTTTGCAAATTCTTTTTTCTTCTCATTAAAAAAAAAGTGAAGATTGAAGAGAAATGAATTTACTATAATTATAAAGTTCATAATTTATAATCCAGTTTAAACAGAGCATTATTGTTTTAAGAAAACCATTTTTTTCATATATGAATGATGAATGGTTCAGAATTAAGAACTGTCAAGGTGACTCTATGGTGCACATTTTCCTAGCCTGAGCTTCTCATTGAAGATTTGTACGTCTTCCTAAGTTTAAGTTTATAGGAAACTCGGCCTTTGTCATAACTGTCTGGGGAATGTAAAAGCTTCTAAAGAAAGGCATAAGAAGGTCGATGGTTGATAGCAGGTGTTGTGTGATGCAAATCCGAGCTGACTTAACTGAGTTAATTAGACTTTATCGGTTTACTTTTTCCCACTCTTGCTAGCTAAGGCTGTAAATAGTACTTTACTTATAGCTTGGAATTTAGGATCAAACACAGGTACCTTAACTTACAAAGTAAAGGAATCAGGTGTTCATTGAATTGGTTCCTAAAATGTAGTGACTAGAGATTTGAAGAGAGATTGCAAGGTGATTATATTGAATCTAAAACTTTGGGACCATCATTTTGTATGGGTGGGAAATTGAAGCTACTAGGAAATGACATTGTTTTAAATGAGAAAGATGAGGTGATGATGAAATATTTTATAAACGTACTGTTTCTCTGTAGTAAATTTTTATTCATTAAATTAATGAATTAAGTTTAATTTAATTTGCAATATCTGTTGATATTCCTTGTGTTTGGAATCATTAGGAATGGATTCAAAGTTTTGAAAAGTTCTTGGATGCCGTTAATATTCATATTTATGGCCTATCCTTCATTCATTTCCTACTACAGCATCTATTTGTAGTTTTTAGTACATATTTCATAATAATCATTCTTATTATATGTTGTTTACATAAAGTGAAAGTATATTTTGTTCTAATAGTTTCTTGTTAAGTTCATTACATAGTTCTAAAATGGTAATCTTATCTTAATTTTCTGGTTCTACTTTTGGAACTATATTTTTAGTCAAGTTTGTGATAGCAATAATTCATGTTGATTTGTAACATTTGCTCAGTAGGCTGAATAACATGTCTTTTACAAAGACATTTATATGGTATAGCTCTTGGAGGCTTCTTAGCTTAACTTTTTGCTCAGCATCATCTAAGACAAGTTAAATCCTTAATTCTATCAAATACATTTTTGGAGACAAGTAGTTTTGTAACGGCACTACCTTGGGCACCTATGTATGTCTTCACATTTCTTGTAATTAACTCTAGGCTAGATAAATTGCTTTATTTGTTGGATTATGTATACAACTAATTCTTTGCGTAAGATTTGCCTCTTATAGGGCTGTCAATTCATCGGCATTTTGAAATCAAATGACTTCATGCATGTAGTTTAGTGTGGCATCCAAGTTAAAACAAATTTCCTCGTAATGAGTCAATTCCCTATTAACTAACCTCTTGCAGTTGCTTGTATACATGCATTTCTTGGGTGAAAGGAAAAATATATTCATTCATGCATGTAATCTTTTTATAGAATGAACTTTTCCAATTTTTTTGATACTTAGATTCTAAGTTTGTTTTTCAATTGTTTCAGTAGAATTATTTGTTAACAAACCTTTTTATTTTGATTTTATATAGTTAATTTATTCAGTTGCTTTATTTGTTAATATCAAGAATAATAACTCTAATTTTTTTTTATGAACGAAGTTAAAATGCCTAATTTGAGAGATAATTCATGTTCCTCAACACCTCTTGCTTCTACCTCACATCAATTACCAATTCAGCAAACTTTCATTCCAACATCTGATGAAAATGTAACTCCATCATTAAGTGTGACTAAGAGGGTGCTAAAGTTGATGATAATGGGTATAACTCAAGTAAGCTAAAATCAAAAGTATGGAAACATTTTAAAAAAGAGAAAATCAATAATGAATGGAAGGCAATATGCAATTATTGTAAGAAGAAACTTGAGGTGCTTCTAAGAATGGGACAATTTATTTGCGTGAGCATTTAGAGAGCTACAACAAGTGATTTCAAATGGATATTCGTCAACAAGTGCTAGTAGCAAATCAAAGAAAGACAGATAGAAAAGTAACACTAAAAAACTTATCCTTTGATCAAAATGTCACAAGGAGGAAGCTTGCCAACATGATAATCATGCACGAATATCTCTTATCAATGGTTGATCATGTGCGATTCAGAAAGTATTCTTATAATCTCCAACCTTGGTTTGCTATGCCTTCTTAAAATACTATAAAGAGTG